GCCATGAATGTGGAGTTAGAGCTGGAGGAGGCAACGAAGTTGCTGGAAACTTTAAAGGTTCGTCCCATGTTATAGGAACAGATTAAGGAGAAGCAAAATGATGACTTGGAGTTTGAGAACTACCGGAAACAAGTATTGGAGGGGAAGACACTAAGTTTGAGCTGGTGTATGGAGTACTAATGTTCTGGAGAAGGCTTTGTGTACCTAACTTCGACAAGCTAAGGGAAGATATATTTGACGAGCCCGATCTGCTCCCTATGCGATGCATTCTGGGGAAACCAAAATGTAGCGTACCCTCAAAGAGAATTATTGGTGGTTAGGCATGAAGAAGGGGGTCGTGGCTCACTTCTACCAATGCTTGGAGTGTCAAGTGATTAAAGCCGACAATCAAGCCCCAGTCATCGAGCACTTACTACTAGAAATTCCCCAGTGGACAAGGGAGAAAGTCACTATGGATTTCGTGTATGGTTTTCCAAGGACCACAAGAGGGAATGATGGTGTTTGGGTGATCGTTGATCGCTTTTCAAAGGTTGCACATTTTATACCCATCAGGTTGAAGACGGGGATGGAGGAGTTGGCAAGGTTGTATGTGAAGGAGATTATCAGGCTGCACGAGGTGCCGCTCAGTATCATTTCTGATAGTGAGCCTTGCTTCACATCGCAATTATGGGTCAGTCTACAGAGGGTTATGGGCACCAAGGTGCATTTTTCTACTGCATATCATCCATGGACCGATGGGCCATTCGAGAGGACGATACAGACGTTGGAGGATCTTTTGAGGGCTCGTGTTATGACCATGGAGGCAGCATGGGATGAAAATTTACCCATGCTAGAGTTCACTTATAATAATCAGTACCATAGCTTGATACAAGCAGCCCCATATGAGGTTCTGTATGGGAGGAAGTGTCGCACTCTGTTGTATCGGGATGCTGAAGGAGTGAGACATCTAGAGGGCCCTAAGATGATGCAAAAGGCCGCAGCGAAAATAGAGGCAATCCGTAAAAATTTGATGGCGGTTCATGATCGACAAAAGAGTAATGTCGAGAGGCTTGGAGTTCCACGCCAACATTAGGTGGGAGATCGAGTTTCCCCTTGGAAAGGAGTGATGCGATTTGGCAAAAAAGGGAAGCTCAGTCATAGGTACATTGGGCCATATGAGGTGCTAGAACGTGTGGGACCCTTGGCCTATCGGTTAGCCTTACCCCCTAGTCTGTCGAGGATCCGCAACGTTTTCTATGTTAGCATGTTAAGGGCGTATCGGTCCAATCTCGACCATGTCATCCGACATGAGAACATGCAGTTGGAGGATGACTTGACTTACAAGGAAGTCCCTTTTCCAGATCGTGGATAGACAGGAGAAAGAACTGCGGAGGAAGAAGGTTGCTATGGTTAATGTTGTCTGGAGGAATCAAGGAAGCAAGACTGCCACCTGGGAGGCCGAGAGTAGCATGAGAGAAAAATATCCATAGTTGTTCATTTGACAAAATTATGTAATTAATACGCGTCCTTGGCATGATTAGTAAGTTAGTAACAATAAGAAGAAGTGTTTTGAGAGTCGCATGTGACTTTCTTATGAGGACAATTTTGAGATCGAAATGTTTTTTAGGGGGAGAGAAATGTTATATCCCAGTAGATCGGCTCAATCAAACGAAGCATCTAAGCATCTCTTTAGCGGTTGTTTCCATTCACGTCTCTCAGTTCCAATTTCGGGGACAAAATTTTTTTAAGGGGGGAGGAAATGTAACATCCTGATTTCGAGTTTAGGATCGATTAAGGTTCGACCGAAGCTTTGGGAGACGGTTGGGTTCAAAAAAAATTGAAGGAGGAACAGGCTAGAACACGGCCCAAAAATCGATCGTTTTTCTAGACCGTGTTCGTGTAGGTGTGTCATTTTGATGCAGTAGGAAATGAATCAGCAGAGGATTGAACACGGTTGGTGAACACGCTCGTGTCTCTAGACCGTGTTCAATTAAATGTTCATTTTAAAGAGCGAGGTTGGTGGACGCATTGTTACGGAGAGAACCGAAGACGAAGCGTAGCGTGACATGCCCGTGTCACTTAGGTTCCGTAAAATGACGATAGACGATTAGAACGAGACGCGGCGGATGGAGAGAACACGGGGAGGAAACACGATAGTGTCTCGTGCCTGTGTTCAACATGCTATAAAAAATGACCTTTCTTTTCTCTCTCCATTTACGTTTTTCCATCTCCCAAAGCAACCAAAATGCTTTAAACGAGCAGAACACGAAGGAAAGTAAGGAGAAAAGCATGGAGGATGGAGAAGGAAGAAAAGGGGAGGAAGAAACCGATTATTCCCCAGTTCGCCAGCGAGCAGAGATACCGACGAAAATCTCTCCAACTCGTCGTTCCTCTCGACTTCTAACTTGTCATACGTCGTAGTAGGGTAAGGAAATTTTTCACTAGTCGTTACTACGTTCGTTTAACCGCTAGTAGTAACTTTGGATCGTTAAATATTGAAGTTGGAGGCAATTAAGGATCGTGTTAGAGAGTGACGAGTTGAGTCAAGGTGGCCTCGTTCAAATCGCGTCATTGTGGATCTAGGCACGTCCTGGAGGTAAGGAAACGTGATTCCCTTCTATTTAGATTGAGTTCCGTATGAGCTTTCTTGTATTTTTCAAATCAGGGGCTTTAGTGACGGGTTTTTTGGGTTTCCGTGACGATTTTTATTTATTTGACACCCTTGTAGGCTCAATAAAATTGGTTTAATAATTTTAGAAATTGGAAGAAGATCAGTAAAGGTCGGGGAATTTATTTGGGAATTTTAAAATCTAATTACTAGTTTTAGTAATTATTTAGGCATGTATATTAATAACTAAAATTATATAATGCGTTTCTGGAAAATTGAATAATTTTCCAAGGGATAAGTACTTCTGGACTACTAGTAAAAATTAGGAATTGAAACTTTCAAGAGGTATGACTTAGTCTAAAAGTTAATGGAAAGTGAAATTACATAGGAAAAGGGGTTTTCTAAAAAGGGGGTTTTTAAATCGGTGAGTAGACCGTCTAATAGCGTGGTATGATCTATAGGGTATCGAAATAGTATGTTGAGGAAGGAGTTCTTCGGGCTAAGGGTCAGAGAATCGTCTTTTCGAAGTGAGTGTAAAGGGGATAAAATCTTCGTCGAGTTCTTTTAGTTTATATCTTTTATTTCAAGTTATGCTAGTTAATTTATGAGTTTGCGCGATTATGTGTGTGAGGCATCCCATTGCCTACTTAAGGTGGAGGCATGCGTTGTGCTATGTATGTGATGTATGTTTGTATGTGAGATGAACCCCCGGGCGGTTGGGTCACTACCGGACGCCGTAAATGGTCGGGTCACTATTGGACGGCGATACGTAATGCAGTAGTAAACCAGGCATGGACTAGAAGACGATACGTAACGCAGTGCCATTGCCTTGAGGATAGGGTCACCGGACGCGATAGGTAACGCGGTGGATCCTAGTAATAAGTTATGAGCTAAGATAGAAGTAGAAAACTTCTATAAGTTATAGAGGATTAAATGATTAGGGATGAAAGCAAGAACAACTTTCATGTAAGAGGAAGTAACTTCTAATAATGTGTTAGTGAGAGTATGCTTAGGCAAAGACCTTAGTAAGAACGACGAGACTGGCCCCTTCTCACTCACCAAGCATGGAAAGGGGAAGAGGGCGCAACCAGCACGAGGAGGTTAATTAAGGAGGTCAGTCACGGCAAGCTTGAAGATGTCAGAAGTAATGAGATAGGACCCATGTTATCGTATTTGTCTTTACTTAATGTCTTATGAGGATATTGAGAAACTCAAGGTTTATGTTTAAGTATTTTGGTTTGGGATTGTCCCAAGTGTTTAGGGCTTTAGTTTGAGGTTTCTGAATTTTGTCGTTGGGTGGTTTTCGGTTTGACCTTTTAAATGTGATTTGGGTTGCTCCGGAGTAACCGGTTTTTGTGTTAAATTATTGTTTGGTTTTCAAAAAGCATCGGGTTGTTTCACTTACCACTATGGTAAAACAGACATCATCATACCATGTCAGTGGTAATACTGTGAAATGACAGTGGTAAGATTATGTAAATAAATTATTCCAAAATTACCAAAATGTATATTGTCTCGTAGAGCACACAAAATTTGATATATTGAAAAAAATATTGAAATCCAAAGTAAAACTAATGAACTAAATTTCGAAAGAAGGTTTGAAAGGTGTTTTAACAACATGTCCAAGAATCCGGGCCAACAAATATAAAAGTCGTCGGTTGTCCTAAAAAAAACTTATAAGCTCTCTCCTAAATCCTCTATTTCCCTTCTTATCCTTTATGACATGGACCATTACATCTCTCCTTCTCAAATTACAACCATTAGATATGGTTTTGTACTACTGCAAATATAATGTATTTTGTACTAGACCATATTCCATATAATTTGTTTTGTCCGTGAAATTAAAAATGATATTCTTCCAATATGTAGGCGGCAAGTTGTCAAAACGCAAACGGTTTATAATATTGCACTGGTTTCTCAAGTGCTATGGTTCTACCGGTTGTAAAACCGGTATGTGTCATATCATGGTAGTTTAATAAATATGTATAAATCTAAAAAATTATTAACATAAAATGAATTTAAACAAAAACAAATTTGAAGACAATTTACTTACTATCTATGTTCATTCTCAAATAAAATACAACATTCCAAATAAGTTAATAAGTTCTCATATTTAAATAAAATATTTAACGTCAACACGCAAACTTTTATACTTAAATTTAACAAATAACATCAACATTTAACTTTTACATTTATGTAATAAATCATAAATTATTTTTTTATTTTTTTATTAAATTTACCTATAAAATGACATTTTGTTTAGAGATTGAAAATCAATCATATAATATTTACATCGATTTCATAATCAAAACCAGTAGAACCGAGATTCTACCGCCTAGCATTCCGTCTCACAAGCATTGTAGGCAGCAGGTGGATATTTTAACAGCCCAATTTAAGTTGACTTCGTAGACGGCCCATCAGTAGTTGGGCCCCCAATTTGCCAAAATAGAAAACGAGCGATCAATTCACCGGAGAACCCTAAAAATATTTTTCATTTTCCAGTAGTTTCCGCATCCTCAGCGCTCCCAACTTCCCTGAGAAAATTACACAGGAAAACGAAGGTAATAATTCCTTTTTCTTTCCTCTTCCCTTTCCCGGAAAAATCCACGAAAACGATTCCAATATACTTCGCCGCCGCCTCTGTTGAACATCCTGCTCCTACCTTTCTTGGCTTGTTTGTTTCTCGGGATAACTCAATTTCCGTCGTAGAAGTAATCAATTCAATTCAGCGTCGTCTTCGTTTTCTCTTTTCCGCGATTTCAATTTTTTTTTTCTGATTCTTTCATTTCTTCATTCTTCGCGATAATTCTAGGGTTTGATTGATGGCGGATACTGAGACTAATGGTGTCGCTACGAATGAGGAGGATCGGGAGGTGGAGATCTTCTCGAGCCCCGACCACCGTGGCGACGGAGACGGCGAAGCCAAGTTGAAGCAGAAGACTGAAGCGCTGGTTCAGGAGAACGATGAATTGAAGGGCCAGGTCTCGCAGTTGAAATCCGAGATGGAATCACTGAAATGGGAGGGATCGGAGATGATGCAGAGGCTGGAAGAGATGGAGAGCGAGCTCGAGGAGGCGGAAGAGAACAAGAAGACGCTGGATTCGATAGCTTCTCGAGCCGGGGAGCTCGAGATCGAGGTCTCGAGGCTCCAGCACGATCTGGTTACGTCGATGAGCCAAGGTGATGATTACGCTACCGAGGTTGCTAATCTGAAGAAGGTGTTGGGAGACATGGAGGTGAAGCTGGAGGAGGCAAAGAAACAGAAGGCTGAGAACGAGAAGAGAGTGAGGGAACTGGAGAGGAAAGTTGGGGTTCTTGAAGTGAAGGAAACTGAGGAGAAGAGTAAGAAGATCAGGTTGGAAGAGGAGACCAGGGAGAGACTTGGTGAGAAGGAGAAGGAGCTGGTGAAGTACAAGAAACGAGTCGAGGAGTTGGAGAATGAGCTGGCCAAGAAGGCCGAACTGGAAGAGAAGCTTAGGGTTTCAGAGAGCAGGGCTAGGGAAGTCGAAATGAAGATGGTGGAGTTGCAGAAAGAGGCTGAAGATGCCGAGAAAGTGATTGTAGCGTTGAAACAGAAGGCTGTTGAAACCGTGAATGGGTTTGAGACAGAAGATAGAGAGGATCCAGATGAGTTTGAGCAGTGGCCAGCTACTGCGGTGGTGATTGGATCAACAGGTGCTATTGTTGTTGCTGCAGCTGCTGTGGCCTATTTCATCTACGCAAGGAGACAGTGATCATCGATTTTCTTGGAGGTTAGATTTGTGTCATCTCTGGTAACTCAAGCTACTACTGAAATGGGTAGAAAGAGCTAGCTATCCAGTTTTGTGCATGATTACAGTAGTTTTGCGTTTGCACTGTGAAGGGGTTTTGCTGGTCAGAATCTTTAGTTGAAATGTTCATCTGTCCCAATTGGGAGAATCGCAAAGATTTTCCTATGTAGCTGGAAGGATTGAGATTCTAGAGTTTGTTTTCTGCCCCTGCACGTTATGTTTGCAATTCCTGTATTAGAAGATAGTTGATATTGTGAAGTATTATCTTCTGAATAGTATCTCAGTGTTCCACTATTTTTTTTTTTTTTTTTTTTTTGGCTTGTCTGGTGTGGTTGGGATGAACCGGATAAAGCATTCATTCGATTGCCTTTTTTTCTTTGTGTGTTTCTCTTGATTGGAATGTTGAGTTGTGGAAGTTTTGACGTTGAGGGAACATTGCATCAGTTTGATGTTCTAAGGAGTTGAATCATGGATGAGTCTGTGTTAGTGATGAATGACTGTCGTATGAATGAAATGCTGAATATGTAGCTTGAGGTATTGAACATTTCTTGTTCTGGGAGCAACTTCCATGACAGTTAGCAATAGTTCCTTCAGCTTCTTCTGCACTGTTGCAACTAAAGGACGTTTTCTTTTGTACTCAACTTCCTCCTCTTTGTCTGTTCTTTCATCATGGCCTTTTTGCCCCAGCTTCTGCGCAGTTGCAACCTGAAGGACTCCACCATCTACCCATTTCCTCTGTATATTTCTTCTTTTGCTTTCATGGCTAGTAGTTGTCTCGTGGAAGACATGAGACGAGGCATAGAACTCGTTCTCATTGCAAACCGACCTCGACCCCTCATCCTGACGCATGAATTTCAACCGCAACGAAACCAGAAGTCCCCTCACTGATCTCAATCTCTCCAACTTGCATGCATTTGATCGATCGACAGCTGGTAGGGGCCAAACGTGTAGGCCAAGCCATGCCATATATACATATGTATAATTCAGTTGCACCCTAAAATATAGGGATATCAAATTTCTCATAAATGTACAGGGTTTATATATGGATTTATGTGGCTATTTTTTAATTAAATGCCAACAATTACATGCAGTTTCCAAGCATCAAACTTAAAAAAAAAAAAAAAGTGTTCAACAATCAGTGTGAATTGTTTAGAATCCTAGAGTTCTAGACTATAATTCTCTTGCATGCGTATCATATTTTAGAATTCGTGTTCTTGTTAGCAAATAATTTATTGTATTAATTATGGTATAGTAGTTTAACATCTATCGTGTGTATTCACTAATAATTTTGAAGGGTCAAAATTATTGAAAGATCGAATCTATATGATGGTAAAGTCAGAATCTATATGATGGTAAAGTCTTAATTGAAGATCACAACACTATTGGTGTGTTACATGGAAATTTCCTTTTTGTCCTCTAGGGAATGAGAGTAATGTATACTCCTCAAGTGGAACGGTTAATATAATAACTAAAAATAAGGAAGCTAAGGAATTTAATTGGTAAAATGTTTCAACAAATATTTTCCCCTTCCCTGCATTGCATTGAACACCGCCAGTTGAATAGTGTCCTTTTAGGCTTCATGCATGAATAACATGAAAAGTCAATAATCAACTAAACATTACTATTCGACCATACTGCCATATTTTATTGGCATCTCATCAACTGCTTAGTCTTCCAGTTCATTTCTTTTGTTAGAATGGTGCATGCTAATTATTATAAAGGTCACTATGACCATATAATTAATTTTGGCTCGTGTTTCATAAATTAACATTCTGGCTTCAACTATGCAACATACAGACTTAATTGGTCCGACAAATGGTTTGGCCGTCAATTTGGACGGTCAACACGCTATGTCATTGCCTCGTCAGCCTAAAAATCATTACAGAATGTTAATTTATGAAATACGAGCCAAAGTTATTGAATCAATTTTATTAATGTGAAAATGATAAATAATATAAATTAGGAAAATAATTAATTTTTTGGCTAATTTGGAAATGATCAATAATAGAAATTAGGAAAATAATTTGAATTCAAATTTTTTTAATAATTTTTAGGCTGACGAGGCAATAACATGGTGTGTTGACTAACGGTCAACATCCAAATTGACGGTCAAACCATGTGTCGGGCGAATTGAGTCTATATACTACATAGTTGAGACCAGAATGTTGATTTCTAAAACCACGGACCAAAATTGATTATATGATCATAGTTCGGGCCAAAATAAGGTATTAACCCTTATTATAATAATGTTTATTACTTTAAATCTTTTTTTATATAGAAGGGTGATATAGGTTTACTTTGTTTTGTGATTAAAATACTATTTAAGAGATTTCCTGTTTAAAATCCTGGTAATGAAATTTCTTCTCCCCACTTCACATCGCGAACGTTGAAGCGCACCATTTTTAGAGAGAGAAGAACGGACTCTTTTTAATTCGAAATGGGTGGGAAAGGTTATACAATATGCTCGACTAAAATGAGAAATTAGAAGTCACTCGACTGATCAGAAGAGGGAGATGAAGGAAAGCTCGAAGGGTGGTTAGCTGGAACGATGGCAACTCGACTCTAAAGGAAAGGAGCAGAAACAACCGATGACTAAGATGCTATAACTCTTGCCTTGCTCGGAATTGTGGGAAAACTTGGAGTTGAGAACTCTTACCCTCCTATTTGGAGAGTAGACACCTGCTCGGGTTTATATAGTGATACCATATATGCATAAATCAATTGTTAATGTTGGAGATGGTTATAAAAACACGAACATGAATTTCTCGTAGATAATTATGATAATCAAGCCTAAAGTATATCAATAACCAAATCATCCCCTTAAAAAAAATCAAATTATTAGAAGCCATTTAAAAATGGACCCATATCATTCTCGTTAGGGGTGGGCAACGGGACGGGACGGGATACCCGTCCCGTTTTAAACGGGTACCCAGTCCCATTTGGAGGCCAAAGTCCATCCCATATCCCAAACCTATATGGGAAACGGGTACCCATTACCCGTACGGGACGGATAACGGGTACCCATACTACCCATAAATACCCAAAGTTTAAACCACTCAAATTTTAACAAAAGTTTAAACTTAACTTGTACTTGCTTAACAATCACAAGACACAAATCAAGAACAATCACAACGCATAGAAAAAATCATTCTAAGCACCAAATTATCAAATAAGAAGTTTCATTCAACACAAATCATGAACAATCACAACGCATAGAAATAAATCATTCTAAGCACCAAATTATCAAATAAGAAGTTTCATTTAACAAAAGGGAGTCTACAAGTATTATGTTCACATAGCGTTCTTTGTTTCTTTACTAAGAAAAGTTTCATCTTTGTGGCGAAGTGGACATTCCCTTTCTATGGATTAGAGTTCGCAAATGGGTAAAACGGGTACCCACATTACCCAAACGGGTATTTGCGGGTAACCCGCGGGTACCCATATTAGGAATGTACAATCCCAAGTCCCATCCGTTCATAATATTACGGGTAATATGGGTACCCGTAACCCTTAAAAAACGGGACGGGTATGGGTATACCCAAATACCCGTTTCCCGTTGCCCACCCCTAATTCTCGTTGCATATGGCACCTCATAGGAGTAAGTCAGTAAACGTTTGTCATGATTTCTTGTCATAACAAAGATAATTAGAAAGCAGGGGATAATTTACATCGGCCGTCAATGGAGAACGTAACGATGGGTCATCATGGTCATGTTAATAAAAAATTGATTCCATTTTCTGTTGTCTTTGATCTCTTAATTAGATTATATTATATTAGTGGATGGGTGGGATGATGGTTGTGACGGACCGGTTCAATCGAATCTGATTCCTCTATATCTCATTCTCTTCTCTTACATCAGTTGCTGAATTCTAAACGTAGCAAGAATGTACTATGTTTCCTTTTTCAAATTAACATAGGTCGATTCTTGTTATTTAGACTATTAATTAACTAGAGTTCGAGGAGTAATAATATACTTTAGCTTGGAATGAGTGAATCTCATTTCATAATTCTATAACACAAGATTATTTTAATCTAAAATGATAATCAACTAGTTTGATTCATCAAAATATATTAAAATATATCTAATAAGTATAAACGCATTATCATATTATATACGCTAGTCTCCAGTTGGGAAAACAAAGGATCTAGGTAGTGTGCCCTGTTCAAATTCCTTAATGCGCCAAGCTTGAATTGAACTATGAATATTCAAAGTCTTCCTCTTAGTTTGATTCACGAGGAGAGAGTGGTAAACTCTCCGTGCCATAACTAATCAATAAAACTCAATCAAGAATCTCACTATAACATCATATTTGCACATGTTTGCACCCTCTTTTTTTTTTCTTTTATAGTTTTGGTGTGAATTTGTGTGTTCTTTGTTCTATTTTGCTTCAAGTTGTGCTCTTTTGTCACATTTAACGTCCTAGTGGGTAAAGGAAGGATCAAATCAACTTTCGAGTGATTTGGAGATCGTTTTGACGACTTGGGAGGCAACCAGAGGCAAAACACGGCCAAGTCTCTCAGCGTACGACTGTGTTCCTCCAGCAACTACATGTGTTTCATATGTCAAGAAGAATTGTAGAGAAATTGGAAAACACAGGCGCTGAAAAACACGACCATATTTCCTCAACTGGTGCCTGTATTTCATATGTTGAGAAGAATCGTTGAAGAAGATCAAAACACAGTCACGAGCAAAACACGAGCAGTGAGCGTGTTTCTAGCTGAGTTGCTCGTGTTTCTCCCCATTGGAGACTTGAGTGAAAGTGTGGTAGAGCAAAACACGGGAAGGGGCAAAACACGGGCAGTGAAACATGATCGTGTTTTGCCCAATTTCACGTAAATTGGCAGATTCGAGCCTTTTGCAAAAGATCCAACTTTTGACAGCAAAAACAAAATTCTAGAGAGAGAAAGTAACAAGAACAAGACCTAGCGGCTCATTTGAGATGGGGTTTCACCATTGAAGCTTGGATTTCTCCTCTTTGAGAGAAATCAACACCCCAGAACATATTATACACATCCTCATGAAAAAGGTTAGTGTAATTTTAAATTTCACGATATTTTCTGTTAGTGAGTGGTATAAGATCTACGATTTTTACGATTTTGTACGATTTAAAAGTTTATGGCAATTGGAGCAAAATCAGGCCGGTCATGTCGGGGATTTCTCATGAAATGGGTCAAGTTCATTTTCCCCAACCAACATTATGAACAACATAACCCTAACCCGACAGGTGACCCTCAATTTATGTTTGTTCTCTTCACCATCTCTTTTTGTCTTCCGCATGCCGGCACACAACTACTTCCATCAATGATTTCCTCCACCCTCACAATTAGCTCGGAGTTTGTTCCCCACCACCCTCACAATTAGCCCAACCTTTAATCAATCAAGAAGGGAATCCATCAATCATTGAGTTACCTTTTCTCGATGATGGTTATTAAGGAAATAAGTTCAAGGGTGAAAGTACTTCAAGTGATCCTAAGATAATGATATTATTGCTCAAGTAGATAGACAAGGATTCTATGAGGATGTGAGTGAGGGTGATGATCTATGAGGGGTGTTAATGTTGATCCTAACAATCTTATGTTATTTTCTACTCTTAGCTATTAACTACTAACTAGATTAAGTCATTCCTATGAAGTTTCAGGCTGCTTGTTTGTGTGTTTGTGTTATGTACACGAATAAACCTATGAGTTTATTTGTATTTATTTAACAAACAAAATTATTTTGAGAAATAATTAAGTTATATGTGGTTGACTGTTATCCAGGATATGCGTTGTTATTACTCTATGGAGTTTTAAATATTCATTTTAATATGCACCTTAAAAACTTACAATTTTACAATTTTAATCTATGATTTTGATCTTACCTTAGTTTCGTTTTTACTTAAAATCACGATTTTGACTACACTGTGTACAGGAAGAAATATTTGCTTTTTATTAGAATCTTTCCAAACCATATATGAGAGCACATTCTTTTGGTGCCTGCGGCACCGTTCGTTTCGCCAATAAAACTAAGAAGGGTTGGCCGAGTTCGGGATTAGAACTAAAGGTAAGGTCGAGCTCATAAAGCATCCTTTATCCTATTGGCCAAGGGGATTATAGTTAACCTTAAAGCACAACCAGCTGGCTTAGAGAGTTGGCGCTTCAAGTTAGATAGACTGGTATGGGAATCCTTGTGTTTTTAAGAGAGAATAAGAGAGGTAAAATTGCTTATGCCTCTTATTATTAATATTAACTACAATAATTAATGCACAAACCAGCAACCGTAAAACAGGAAAAGAAGTAAATCAATTGTAAAAATATTTCGTAACATACTCAGTTGTAAACTAAAAGTTCATCACTTTCTCCTATTTAATATTATTCATTTTTTTGTTGTTTTTTTATTCTACTTTTTGATTATTCTATATTCTTCTCTCTAACCAAATTAAGTTCTCGTCACCTATTCAGGTAATTCAATTTAATTGATTATTTTTTCAATTTATTTAATATGTAAATTATATTAAATAATGTTATAATGATTTTATTTATTGATTTTGATTGATGATTTATTTACATTATCTCAGGACCGGCCTTATGAAAAAATGTCGACTACATTTTTTTATAGGACATGGCCTACATTATCTCAAGACCGGCCTGCATATGATCCAATTCAATAAATCCACCAATCCATTAGGGATGGTAAATATATCTACACCCATAGATATCGATTAAATCCAAATATGAATATTCTGGGTAATGAGTGGACATATTTTCTTACTATCCAACCAAACTCTAGAAAAAAATCTTTTATTTTTCTCAATATATAATATTTTCATGAATATGTGTTCTCTTCATCTAATTTTCTTCGTTCTAGTGATTTATTGTTATATTTTTCACTTATGTAGAGTGAACATACAGGTAATTGTTAACATATTTATGAAGAAAAGTACTACCCATGGGTAACCATAGATATCCGAAACTCAATCGAGTATGTATATTGGTTTCGATTTTCTACCTAATTCTTGTGTGGGTATGAGCAAAGCAGTCAAAATCGGGATTTTACGTAAAATTGAAAATGGGGGTAAAATCGGAATCGTAAAGTCGAATCGTAAAATCGTAGGATTTTAAGGTCCATATAAAAATGAAGACGAAATAATATTAGTAAGGAAAATCATGAATAACACAAAAGCACATAACATTTACAAAGATAATTTTTCAAGGTTAATGTTCCAATTTATCAAGGTTAATGTTAAGAGGTGGTGAATCGATGATGATGTTGGTGAAGGAGAAGAAAAAGAGGCGTAATTTTGCAAATTCTGGGGAAAATATGTAAAATTGAATCTAAGATTTGAATCGTAAAATCGTAAGATTTTGAAGATTTTAAGGATTTAAATCGTGAATAGTGTAGGATTTTAAGGTCCATAGATTTTATAGTGAAATCAGAATCGGAATAGGTAAGTAAAATCGTAAAACCGTAGGATTTTAGGATTTAAATCGGGATTTTGACTACTCTGGGTATGAGTATGGGTAGGATATGGTATGTGAAAACTCGAACTATTTTGAATAGGATAATGAATATACGGTAATTGTTCCACCCAATTTATTATCATCCTTTCAATCTATGAATTCAATACTGTCACATCTGCCCAAATCTATCAATGGTGCTACTTAGTAAGCCACTGTTGTTCCTTGTGTGATAATCGTTAATTTACTCTTGTCCCTTACAATGAAGACATGCTAAAGGGTGGAAAGGCAAAGCTAATCATACAGAAATCGTGGACATCCAACTAAATCCATCAAGGTTGTCAAACCGGTTTAAGTCATTGAGCCGGTCAAGTAAGGGGTTTGAGGTTTAATGGTCTGATCGCGGTCCGGCCGGTTTGAGCCGTTTTAGACGTTTTCTAAATATATATACAAATAAAGTAGTAATTAAAAATTTAATGAGTGAAATAAAATTTATCTTACATATATTTATTAAAAACTTATTTTCAACAAAATAAATCTACCTAACCTCCATGATCCACCTACCATTTCCCTTCCTTCGTTCTTTTTCCTCTCTTCTGCCTCTCTTCTTCTCCCTGTTTAGGGGTCAGACCGGGGGGTTTTCTGGAGGCCGTTTTGAAGCCCGACTCGGGTTGAACCGGGTCCAACCGGGGGTTCGATAGGGGTTTAACAACCTTGAAATCCACTCATTAACAAAGTGTTTTTTGGTATATAAAACTCAACCCTTTTGAAACTCACTCACTGTCAAGTTAGAAAAGATAAAATTCACTCAACAAATAAAAATTATAAAAGGAAAAGAACCAGAAAGCTACCTCTACCAATAAATTCCCACTTGAAGTTGTCTTAGTTTGACCCAGGAACTTTCCTCTTTCTCTCCCGCTACCCACTATAAATACCCCAAAACCCCATTTATCCAAATTCATCAATCCATCCCCTGCTTTCAAAGTTCAAACTCACAGACCATTCTCTGTTCTCCCACATTCCCTCTCCAGTCTCCAGCTAGCTAATCATTTTTTTCAGTCACCAAATTTCTTATTATTAGCAACGAAATACAGATAGAAAGAGAAAATGGAGTTGATTAACGCGCTGCCGGAAGACTGTCTCACCTCAATCCTCTGCTTCACTTCCCCACAAGACGCCTGCCGCTCCTCAAAGGTCTCCGCCGAGTTCCAATCCGCCGCCGACTCCGATGCCGTCTGGGAGAAATTCCTCCCGTCCGATTACCGCCGCATTGTCGCCGATTCCGTTCCCGCCCTCCTATTCTCCTCCAAGAAGGAGCTCTACCGCAAGCTCTGCGACTCTGTTCTCGTCGCCGGCGGCCGTAAGGTGGGTTTTCCTTTTTACTGATTGGACTGAAGGAATTAATTAAAATGGGTTTTTACAGGCGATTAATTTGTTCTTCTTTCTTGGCAAATTTTCAGAGATTCAAGCTGGAGAAATTGTCCGGGAAGATATGTTACGAATTGGCGGCGAGAGATCTTTCCATAACTTGGAGCAGTGAATCAATGTACTGGGCTTGGACATCGCTTCCCGAATCAAGGTAGAAATTCTTTTCCTCGGGAACCAAGCAAACACTACCTTTTCTTGATTCGATACTTGAAACTCAAGTAAATTAACTTAAAGTTTCTGACGTGGGGAATGATCGATTTCTTTTCAGATTCTCGGAAGTTGCAGTGCTCCGTACAATGTCGTGGCTCGAGATTCAAGGCAAAATCAACACCCAAATGCTAACTCCCAACACCAAATACGGAGCCTACCTCGTACTGAAAATATCCGACCGAGCTTTTGGTCTCGACTTGATGCCGTCGGAAGTATCAGTTCAGGTGGGTAGCAATGAAGAGCGCCATAACACGGCGTACCTAAGGCGTCAGCGTAACAGCCACGTGGATTTTATGGAGACGCTGATGTATGGACACCGGACAGAGGCGCTGAAATCGATGGTGGCAGGCGGCGGGGGGGAAGGGAGGTTGCCGGCGGAGAGGGATGACGGGTGGTTGGAGATGGAGATTGGGGAGTTCTTTAGCGGGGAAAAGAGCGAGGAGGTGAAAATGGGCTTGAAGGAAGTGAAGGGCCACCATTTGAAAGGTGGGCTTATTGTCCATGGAATTGAGATTAGGCCCAAATACTGAAATGGAGACAATTCTTTTATTTTTCTTTTTTTTTATAATTTGTAATTAGAAAAAAAAATATAGGTTCAAAATATTTGATTCTTTATTGGATTGTCATGATTGTAAACAAAGATAAAAGAAATTCGAGACACAAAGATAGCTATGCTTTTTTTACAAAAGATAATCTTGTATTGATATAAAAAAAGTTAGTTACATCTTGGAACGCAGCCAGGCCTGATAATTAAAGCCATGATTCATGATTGGGTACAAAGAGAGGGCTTTCCTAGCCACCAGATGGGCTCCTATTACTACTCCGACCTACAAATCGAACCCTCAAACCCGGGTGGGTGCGAAAATAGTGCAAGACCTCTTCCAAAACAGCACCCACTCGATTGTCTCTGGCATCCCCTTGATTGAGTTTGTCAATGATCACCTTTGCATCCCCTTCGAATAACACATTAGTGAAGCTATTCGCTAGACACCATAAAATCGCCTCCCTAAGGACCAGTAGCTCCACCGTCATCGGATCTCCCAAGAGCGGGAACTGGACGCCCTTAACCAGAAGGACTTCTCTATCCGAGGATAACAGGACAATTCCACCAGCAGAATGCGACCCTGGCCGAACCGCCCCATCCCACATACAAACGACCACCCCCCCCTCCTCCCCCCCCCCCCCCCAGTCTCGCCTATCCCTATACCTTCCCCCGCCGGGACCGAAGGATGAAGAACCTTGTCCACTGGCAACCGTACCCATTCCTCATATTATTATTAATGATTTGAACAAATTAGTCACAGCCAATAAACCTTCCAAGGGTTAAAACTTTACAAACTACGCAAGTCACAAAGCGAGACTATAAATCATAAGGGTATGAGACTCGGATCAAGGTCGTTTGGTTTTGGTTAGGGGTGACAAATGGTAAGTCGGTAAACGGTTTACCGTTTTACCGAACCGGTAACCGGCGGTAATCGGTAAACCGTTTACTGGCAGTATCGGCAGCCGAGGGTCAAATGGAGAAGCTCGGTTTACCGACCTCAGTATCGGTAAATACTGACGGTAATTCGGTAATACCGATACCGGACAAGTTAAGACATTAACTAATAACATATACTTCATTATTCACAAATATTACATACATGAATGAAAGTAAGTAAGTATAAGCCTCAAAAATATTATAAATAAGAGTTAATAATAATTTACTAATTACAAAAATAAAGAAAAAACTCATAAAATCAAAAACAATATCACTCTATTGCCCAGAAATTCGGTTCGGTAATTTTCCGGTAAACCTAACCGAAAAACCGTCCGCAACTACTCTTTACGGTAAGTCGCTAAAACTGGTTTGTAACCGTAATTCGGTAACCGGTAAACTGGTTACAAACCGGTATCGGTAATCGATTCCCACTTACCCATACTCGGTATACCGAAAACCGGTAAAGTCGGTAACCGGTTTACCGGTTACCGACCGAATACCACCCCTAGTTTTGGTGATAGTTAAATAGATGTATTATCATCAATGCATGCATAATAATATCATGTATATACGAAAATTGGTGTATTGTAGTTTACATCGTTTGGTTTTTCTGATAGTTTTGTGTTATTTAAATAAGCTATATTGCTTTTTGGGTGTAATGTCACTTTTACCCAGCCTTGCTTTTCGCTATTTTACAAACAAAAGAGGGGCACAGTGGTAACTTCTCAAAAACACGGTAGCAGGACGAGTAATTTTTCGGAAACCTTATGGGTATTTCTGTCATTATCAAAGGTCAGGTATATAATATCTCTAACGAAACCCTAATTGAACCTTACCCTAAAGCAAAAGCGGCCGCCGCTAATCCTCTCTTCTCCCCTCTCTCGTTTTTCCTCTGCTTCTTTTTCGTTCTCCTCTTCTCTTCCATAAGAAATCGAAAACCCTAGTCGCCTTTCTCTCTCGCCTCCTCTGAGACGAGAAGAAACTCCTCCTTTGAAACACGGTGGTAACTTCTCAAAAATGCGGTGGCAGGATGAGTAATTTTTTGGAAACCTTAGGGGTATTTCCATCATTATCAAAGGTCAGATATATAATATCTCTAACGAAACCCTAATCGAACCTAACCCTAAAACCAAAGCGGTCGCCGCTAACCCTCTCTTCTCTTGTTTTTCCTCTGCTTCTTTTTTCGTTCTCCGCTTCTCTTCCAGAAGAAACCGAAAACCCTAGCCGCCTTTCTCTCTCTCCTTCTCTCGATCTGCCACCCACTCGAGTTTCCTCTTGTAATCGGTCACACGAAGTCCGATTTAATCTTGCTACCGGCCACCGCTCTTCTCTCACGTCACCGGTCTTGGAATCCGACCGCGATGACCCTAAATCGGAGATTTCCTCTCAAGATTAAGGTAAAATCGACATGCATGGCTTCTCATTTCTATTTTCTGATTTTTTTGGTTTTCAATGGGATTCTGACCTTCCTTTTATGTTTGATTTGAGGATATCTGGATTTTGGTTATGGACGAGAGGAGGAGAAGATGAAAAAAATGTCGGCAACCTCTGACCTCGCCGTTGGTGAATGGAGATCGACCGCTAGACACGAAGAAATAGAAGATCAGGGTAAGTATTTTCCTTACTCTATTTAGAGCCTAATTTCTTTAGTAATCTATCTATCTATCTATATCTATCTATTCTATCTATCTATCTTCTATATCTATCTATCTATCTATCTATATCTATCTATCTATCTATCTATATATACTATATATTATGACAATTCAAAAGTAACTTCTTGCCACATAAGCACTTGGAGAAATAACAAGTTGCCTAGGTGGACATTTTTTTACTAACAAAAAAAATTATTATTGATCTATTTATGAAGCTATCTCTCTCTTCATTTAGTATTTATGCTCACTTTTACTCAACATTAATAATAAGTGACATTGAGAATGTAAATAAAAACATGTAAAAAATAATAATATTTTTGTCAATTAAACAAAATATAAAGATAGAAACAAAGAATGACATATATAGGGTTTGTTTAAACAAAAAATATATGATTAAATTTTATCAAGTAAATTATCTACTCATTTTAACCAAAACTTAATAATAAGTTACACTTTAATGAAACATTTAAAGAAGTACACACATAAATAATAATATCTTTGTCTATTAAATAAAATATAACGACACAAAGAGACAAATCAAGCATTTCACAATCAATCGACTTTGAAAAATGAAATATATAAATTTATATATTAAACCTTCCATGCAGTATGCTCTTTCATGAGTGAGATGCTACTAGCTATATGATTATGATTTGGTCAGTAAGTAAAACGTAGCAGAGGGTTATTAGTAGAAGGGAACACATGTGAGGTTTTATAAAGGCGCGAAGAAGAAAGAAAATGGTGGTGGTAGTCTCTAAATTGTCTATGTCGACGTTCTTTCAATTTTTACACGTTTGCAATGACATTTATTTGTTTCATTAGCGTGAATTTTTGCCTCATTAAATCCCTAACTAAAACTTGATTTTGGCACGATCGTTTTTTTGAGAACAACTATTTTGATTGATGCATCAATCGTGTTCATGAATGAAGATTTTACAAGATACAATGAGCTGAGTTTTATTGAAGTATGCAGCTTTTACAATTCGTCTATGTTGTTATTAGGTAAAAAAATACACCATTGTTTTTTAAAGGGGGCATGTAGCTCTCTACAAATATAAAATGTGTTTATGTGCAGTTTAGTTTGCTGAAAATATCGTTTTAATAAATTAGTGAAAGCTGATAGTTCTATTTTTGGTTGATTTTGCTAGAACATTTTAAAGATAAATTAAATGAATAAGCAGAAGATGGATGATGTGGATGCTAATGTGTTTTCTCATTCTTCCAAAATTGCACAAATAACTGATAGTGCACGATGTTCGTAGGATCTAGAGCACGATAGTATGTATTATCATATACCAACGGAAGAAGAAATGAAAAGCTCTTTGCTTATTTTTTTATAATTAAAATATATTTGTTTATTTAATTTGTTTAAACTTCTTTGTCACTATTGTTTGCTAAAAAATTAATAATCTCTTATGTTTATATCCTAAATTGTGGTTTCGATACCAACTTATAATTAAACAAAGAAAGATCTATCGAGAGCTCATTTAATAAAATCAAATTTTCATAAATAAACAAAAGGTTTAAAAGTGTGTAACAATACCTAAAATCAAGTAAGTGAGATTAAAAATTCAATGTATAATAGTTTAACATACATAAATCATACAAAAAAATAGAACAAAAAATAAAACACCGATATGAATGCGCCGCCCAACGGGCGGGTAAAAAGCTAGTATCTTTATTATTATTGTTTGATTTAGATTTAATACACTTGTATATCCAAAACTTTCACGGTTGTGCCAATAATATCCAAATTTCACGAAATACCACTTATATCCATGTTTTAAAGTTTTTCTTTGCCAAATCTATCCATTTCCCAATATATTTTTGGTTAAATACACTTGTATATCCAAAAACACCGTTAAAGAATATGAAGGAATTGGATATAAGTGGTATTTCGGGAAATTTGGATATTATTGGCATAACCGTGAAAGTTTTGGATATACAAGCGTATTTAATCTTTGATTTATTATGATTTAGGATTTGGAAAAGGCGAAGATTATGTGAGGCTCTCCTAACCCTGACATAGTGAGTTTAAACTAAAACTAGAGGATGATGTTGCTGTGGATTTGAAATGATTTTCAGGCTTAGGTTTTAGAACATATGGCTAAGTTTGGAGAGGTTTAACAATTTGTAATTTTCTATTCTTTATAATTACAGCGGTTTTGGAGTGGTATATGGATTTAGCCATGTATGGTAGTGATTTTCGTGGAACCTGGATTCAGATCTAGTTGGGATTTTTCTGAACTCGGCTTAGTATGGTCGAATGGTAAAATTGGAGAGATTTGATTTTTACCAAGTTTCAGATCTGATGAGTTTCAAACCAAAAACATCGATTCTAAATTAATAAAAAATGAGACTTTCTGCGTATGTGCTTTTGATTATATATATAGGGTTTTGGTTGTATTTGATTTAAAGCTAGAAATTCATGCTTGTTGCTTCTGCCTAGGCAGTGAGAATGGATCTTTGTCTAATGAAAATAGAAATTGCCACTTTTTGGCTTCTATGAATCTCTGCTA